ACCATACACCAACACCCTAATTGTAGATTGCAATATGGAGTAATAATATTAATATTTCTCATGACTGTAGGAAAGGGAGATCCATCTGACCATGAAGGGAATGTTTTATAGAAAGGAATAGTCAGCTTAGTAGAACTGATATTGATAACCATGAATTTTTGGCAGATAACTGGAGGCTCGAGTGGCATTGGTCTGAGCGTTGCACACGATGTTGCTCGGAGAGGAGCCAGCGTCACCCTAGTTGCAAGAAACCTGGCCAATTTGGAAAAGGCTTTGGAGGATGTAAGAAGTACAGCATCCAGGGCAGGTGCAGGTGGCAAAGTGCAGATCTTCTCAGGTGAGTCGGATGGGGTTGTTGTTAAGCCACCCACAGTAGGGGAAGAGGTACGATCTATTGGCCAGCTAGCTTTTTTTTTTTTTTCTTTTGTACTTTCTAAAATATGTAGTAAATCATATGTTTAGAGAGCAGATATATGTAATAAATAAAGCTATTATATAAATAACTGAATTTTTAAATTAAAATGTGACATGTATACTCTGTAGAATAGATACATAGAGATATATTTGGATAGGTGTATATATGTATATATATCATTTATTACAAAATGCCCTTGTAATTTTGTAATTATATAAATAGTGATAGTTACTACATACCATTGTCACAGCTGACATCTCTGGAAACCATGAGCAAATAGTCTCCCTAGTCAAAGATGCTGAGAGTAGTCAAGGACCCATTTACATGCTTGTCAACTGTGCGGGATTTGCCCGAGCTATGAAATTTGAGGATATCTCGCCCCAGCTTGCCAAGGTATAGTTGTTGTGTCTTTTGTGTGTTGAATGACAAAGCGGTTTTTTGTATTGTGACAGAGGTAGTAAAAGCATGCTCTTCATAGAATGGGCTTACTGAAAGATGACACAGACATTATGAAAGTGCTGGCTCATCTCTCGGTAAGCTTTGCCTGCTACCTGAGATGGCATCACTACATACATTCATGAAAGCTTTATAGGATCATAGACTAGTGTTCGCAAGTCTCATTATCAAGAACCATTTTCAATAAAGAGAATATTATGGGCTTTCTAGGGAGGCTGCCGATAGTTCTGAGTACCCCCAGCAGGAGAGGTTTTAATCAGGCTTCCTTATGATGGGTTACAAGGAGGAAAGTTTCCCCCAGGAAATATTTTCTTCACGTGAACATTAGTATCATCAATTTTTGTAATTCTAAATTGTTTTCAAGATTTATAAGTTCAAATACCAGCCCTTCGTATTTGACAGAGAATGTTAAATGTACACTGAGAGTATTGATTATACTGTTGATAATTAATTGCATGTGAAAATAGACCCAAATATGTGAAGAAAAGTAAATGAATCAGATGTTGCCAGAGGATATTTCTTTTATGATAAGAATACTTTCACATAATTATTATTTTCTGCTTATTCATTCCTTCAAGGATATTTTACTCTTATGCATAATAAGATATATTTCTCACTCAGTAAGGAGAAACTAGTAGTGATATTTAAATATACATTCATGATAATTTTTAGGTTTATATTGGTATTACTCAAGTTTCATATGTAACAATCATTATGTGTATTACATCCATCACAATAATAATCGTAAAGTAGAAGTCGTTCAAGAATGTGGATATTGATTGAATGTTTAAAGGAAATATTGTCTGATTTACATAATTTAAAGATTAGTATGAATTGTGGTAGTTTTATAATATAATGAGAAGAAATATGATGGACATTTAAGTTTTCACTCTATCTGTTTTATGTTTATATGAAGTGTTTCAAACAGAAGTGATGATAAAAACTTCACAAAGCAAAACTTATTTAGGAAAACATTTATGAAAATGATATTTATGTGGCTGTATATAATTATATAATTTCTACATAAAGTCTTTCACTGGAAAAATTAAATATTAATCACAGATATTTGAGATAACATGTGTCTAGATATCATTTCTATTTTCTGTTATATTTCTACTCTATGTAACAAATACCAGAGGCTGATAAGAGGTCCACTTTGACAACTCTTCTAAAAATCTCTTTGGCTGTTTCATTTGCATGTCATTTGTATATATCCCACACCTGTTAATTTCTGGAATGACTTTTAATCGTGAAACAGATCTCAAAGGTCAATAAATGAGGCATGTCATTGTTTCTCCTTGATATGTGAAAATGTAGTTTGTTGCATGTAATTGTTGGATTTTTCATGATTTTTCAGATTATGTACATATTGAAGTGTTTACAGAGTAATATGTTTTCACTTTGTTTATATTCCAAAATATCCTGTGAAGAGAATAGATTTTTTAAAAGATTGCTACATAATAACCTACGCTTTTCATATACCATATAAGCTGAACGCCATAGGAGAGAGATGTTATACGTGTCCCTAATCTTGCAGCAACTAATGGATGTGAACTTCATGGGCTCCGTCCTCATAACGCAAGAAGTGGTGCGCAGCATGAAGCAGCAGCAGGAAGGGATTGTCGTCTT